CATCATCGTCCTCATCATCGTCCTCATCATCGTCCTCATCATCGTCCTCATCATCTGATCTCTTGCTGTCATTATCCTTATGGGAGGATGTACCTTGCGAAGTTGGCCCTTGTGCGCTCGGCGCTTGGGTGCTTGGTCCTGTGTCATTGTGATCGTCCTTTACCTTTTTAGCCTTCAATTCCCCATCTGATGACTTTGCCTTTCGCTTCAGATTAACACCCTCCCCTAGATAACTGTCAGGTTGCTTCTGGAAAAGGCTTTTCAGGCTGCGCCTAGAGCACATTACCTTGACATTTGGTTCCTAAGATCGCAGTGCCGCCATGTTGTTTATTGATATAGGATGGAGAGTGTATTTTACACAACCACCCTTTCAGCGCCCATATAATCTTATCCATCCAATTGTCGCTGAGGTTCTTACCGTAGAATACGCCGTCGCGTGACCTCAAGTTCATATTCTTGACGTTGAAATGGAATCTGGCCAGATGATCCGCCGCATCCCAGTCCTCTTTATTCGGTTGTGGTGAACTGTATTTAAGGACCCCGTGGGCCTCTCCACTCAGAATGCGTTTTTGGATGTCCCCTATCCCATTCCCTCGTTCCCTTGATTCCTCTCGGCTTAAATGGTCGTTCCATAGTTCCTCCCACCAAGGCCTTACCATTCCTGAACGTAACCATTCAAGCCAGTTGTTGTTGTCTTCAAGATTCAGCACCTTCTGTAATTCTTTTTTTGTGCTTTTTATTTTCTTGACTTTGGGCCCTGCATCTTGTTGTTCTGTGTCTGGGATGTCGGCAAAGGCAAAGTCGAAATCGAACTCTGGGTCATCATCTGCTGTGTCTGCCATGGTTGACTCTGGAAAAGGGTTTCTGATGTCGAAGATGGATGTAAGAAGGGAAGATGGATGCAAGAAGGGAAGATGGATGCAAGAAGGGAAGATGGATGCAAGAAGGGAAGATGGTGATGGAGACATGAGAAGTGGAAGATGAGGCTGTAGATATAATCATGCTCAATTCTTGATATCACTACTGTCAATGAGCAGAATGAATATAGTAAAGGTCAGTATGAGCAGAGACACAGTGAATATAATCAAGGTCAGTATGAGCAGAGACTGAGTGAATATAATCAAGGTCAGTGAATAGGAAGGATAAACTGAGATAATAGTAAGAGGATGATAATATCTTCATATTATTCTTAACTATAATTTTCACCTTACCTTTCTTTCACCTTACCTTTCTTTCGCCTTACCTTTCTTTCGCCTTACCTTTCTTTCACCTTACCTTTCTTTCAGACTATAAATAATCCTACTATTATAGAATATGGTTATCTTATAGTATTAAAATTATTTTCCTTTAAGATATTAAAGAATCTAAAATAGTATTACTATAGCTTTAGAATAATATTCAAATAAAAAGAAGACTAGAGTTTTATTAAGTTATAAGAGTAGTATACTTCTTATTCAACCCCAATCTGGTCTTATACCAAATAACTAATATTTACTCTATCTTATCAATACAAATTAGTCACAACCAGGGAAAGCAAGTCACAACCAAGGATACAACAAATGTGGGCACCTAAGTGTCTATATCACATCACAACGACGGCGCAAACGTCTTCAGCCCCTCACTTATCCGCTTGATCTGCCCCGCATAGTACGACTAACAGAACCAACATTAGCATCATCAGAGTACCCAGACAGATGCAAAAAGACTTACACTCTCCAACCCCGCCCCAACAGCCTTAATCGGCAGCAAACTCAGCAAAAACGGCGGTTTAACCTTGCTCAAGTACATCTCGGCCTCCTCGGCAGGCACGCTCTCGTCCAGCAGCCGGTGCGCGAATGCCGGTTCTACAGCTGCGGGTCGCCCCATGCCGATTAGATCGCATGCGTTCTCGCGCAGGGCGTGCTCTGCGCCGGCGCGGCTGCGGAATCCACCGGTCAGCATGAGGATGAGCGTCGGGAAGCGCTTGCGGGTTTCGCGGGCAAATTCGAGGAAGAAGGCTTCGCGGGCGTGAGTGCGTTGGCTTTTTTCGGGGTGGTTGGCTTGGGAGTCAGTGCTCATCATCTATTTTTTCAGTTAGAGTACGTCTGAGGAGGTTAGTGGGACGTATTACTTACCTTTGGATCCTCGTATGATCCGCCGCTTACTTCGAGAAAGTCGATGCCTGCGTCGACGAGCAGGCCGACTTGGGTCATGGTGTCTTCGAAGGAGGCGGAGGAGTGGTCTGCGGAGTTGAACTTGATGCCGATGCAGAAGGTGGCGGGGACGACTTTGCGCGTTTCCGAGAGGATGTCGAGGACGAACTTGGCTCGCTTCTCGGCGGAGCCGCCGTATGCATCGGTTCGTAGGTTTGTCTGTTCGGTTAGTCGGACCCTGGCCCTGCCTCTAGAGGAGCAAGTATACCTTTGGATTCAAAAACTGGTCTGCTACAATCAGTACAACACCTTACTACAGGACAGAAAGAACATACCAATCAGATACCCATGCGCGCCATGCAGCTCCACCCCCGAAAACCCCGCGTCGGCCATCAGCCGCGCGGTATCAACAAACTGCCTCGTCACAGTATCGATATCCTGCTGCGTCATCTCCCTCGGCGCAGGGAACGCCAGCCGGCTGATGATCCGATCCAGCAGCCCGTCCCCCATCTGCAGGGGGATCGCGCTCGGCGCAATCGTCGACGCAAAGATACCGCGTTTGCCTGCGATGCGGAACGACTGCCGGCCCGGATGGCAGATTTGCACGATGGAGGGGACGCCGTGCTGCTGGCTGGCCTCGGCGTATTTGGCCCATGTCTGGACGAGCTCCGGGTTGGACTCTTTGCCTGTGTACTCGCCTGGCAGGGCGGGGTCTAAGGGACTGCCCAGGTGGTTGACGTCGACTTGGACGTTGCCTGTCCAGTAGTATTGACTTCTTAGTGTGTGTCCTGGTTGAAGTAAAGGGATTAACAGCAAATACCCGTGAGTACGGCACCCCATCCTCCTTTGCCCCATTGGTTGTAGACTTCCATTAGTTTGGGTGTAGGGGTATGTTCTGAGCCGGCCATCAGCTCGGCCATTGCAGCCTGGAGTGGTCAGTCATGTTTGTGACCCTTATCTTCAGAAACTTACCTTGACGAGGCGGTTAGGGAAGACCAGCCCGCATGGAAGCTTGACAGCATCACCTAGAGACGAAGACATGATCATCGATCTGTATCAATTCGAGAAACGATTTCTCGCAGATGAGAAAAAGGAATGAACCCATGTCCACGGAGGATTTGCTTTTACTATATAGATCCGAAAGATGAACGGCTCGGCAACGGATAGAAGCATGGCCGAGGTCGAGATGAGTCCATTCCCAACCAGACAAAAGTTGCGAACGCAAAGTCGATAGGCACCAGCTAGTACGTAGCCACAGTACCTGGCCTTGGCTCTGCATCTTAATGCTTAAGGTTAATTATTCTATTTCCAAGCAAATTGTCCCGCCGATCGTCACGATGGACTGATTAGTGATGCTCGTTAATTCCACTCCGTACCCTTCGGGTTATAAATCTGTCCGAGTCTCCACTTCACATGATCCACTCTACCGAGATAAAGGTGGCCGACTCAATTGTTACTTGTGGAAACTGTGTGGAGAGAATATTTCCTTCATCAACTTGAGGACCGTAGATTATGAGACCGACATAAAATATTGGATTTATCAACTTTTGACGTAGACGTCGGTACCGAAACCAATCCCAAACCCAACAAACATGGTCCAAAAAGCAAGTCATTATCAGCAATATGCAAAGGGTATACAGGAACACAGGGGCATCCTTCAATGCAAGAGTTGAACCAAAAAATCAAAGCGCTCCACAACCTGGGACGACCAGGAACGTAAATGAAAACCGGAACGAAAAAGTAGAACCGAAAAAGTCACGCAGAGACAATAGTAAACATCTCATGCCGGCTGACAAGAAATGAAGGAAAATGAAACTACAGCTTGGCATCCTTGATCTGGTCCTCATAATAGCCATTCAAGGCAGGAGGGGCAGGCCCGAGATTCGAGAGGAGAGCGCCGACTTCCCTCTCCAAAGCCTGGACTTCGCTGTGAGCGTCGTACATGCGAGCCTTGATCCATGCATCTAGGTTCTCATCGTTCATGGTGCGCAGAGAAGTCTCACGGTCCACGCCGGCATCCTGTGCGGCGCGGATGACCTTCCGGGCCACGACGATGCTGACCTGACGGATGCGGGTCAAGTCGGGGTAGAGGAGACCGAGGTCGATCTCCTCGGCGGTCAGAGCTTGTGAGAGAGCTGCACCAGAGGCATAGATCATCTCATCGGTCACCTTGACCGCCTTGGAGAGGATAGTGCCCAGACCGATACCGGGGAAGACATACATGTTGTTGCCCTGGCCGGGGTAGTAGGTGCGGGTCTCTCCGGAGGAGTTCTTGAAGGAGAAAGGTTGGAAGGGGGAACCGGAGGCGAAGAGGGCACGGCCATCGGTGTGGGTGATGGCGCTTTCAAAGTCACATTCTGACTTGGAGGAAGGGTTGGACAGGGGGAAGATGATGGGGTGGGTGTTCCAGTCGGCCATCTTGCGCAGGATCTCCGGAGTGAAGACGCCGCCGAGGGTCGACAGACCCATGAGGATGGTCGGCTTCACATGATCGACCACCTCGTCGAGGGTCTTGAACTGTTGGCCGTTGTTGTCTGTACGAGCAAAGTAGACCTTGTGATCGGCGAGCTTATCACCCCGGTCAGCGGTGACGAGACCCTTGGTGTCGACCAGGTAGAAGCAGGAGCGGGCCTCATCTTCCGTCATGCCCTCGCGCATGAAGAATGCAACAATCTGCTTGGCCACACCGACACCAGCGCTTCCAGCACCAAGGAAGACGGCGCGGTGCTCCTTGCAGGGAAGTCCTGAACGCTTCACAGCGTTGATGACACCGCCGAGGATGACAGCACCCGTACCCTGGATGTCATCGTTGAAGCATGTGTAGACATCACGATACCGCTCCAAAGCGGGGAAGGGATTCTTGAAGTCCTCAAACTGGATGACGATACTGTTTACCTCCGTTAGTGTCCGGTGTCATCGGAAAGAGTTGGGAGGTGGAGCCACATACCCAGGCCAGCGCTCGGTCAAAGCCGCCATCAACTCATCCATGAATTCCCGTTCCTCCTCGGGGGAGATCTTGTCACGGCGTGTACCCATGTACAGCGGATCTTCCCGGAGAGCCTTGTTGCTTGTCCCCAGATCCAGGGTCAAGGGCAGGGTGGCCTCGGGACGGATCCCCGCACATGCAGTATACAGCGCCAGCTTACCAATCGGAATGCCCATTCCGTTGATGCCAAGATCTCCCAGTCCGAGAATTCGGGACCCATCGGTGATGCACGTGATTTCAACATTTGGTTGCGGCCAGTTGGCGATGACAGCGGCCAGATTGCCGCGGTCCTCCCAGCTCAGATACATGCCTAGGCAGATGAACGTCGTTAGCGTGGATTCGATGCATTAGCAGGAAAATTGTGAAAATGTCTGGACTCACCTTCTGGCTGCTGGTAAATTTCCGACCATTTTTGGCATGCTTCTCCAACAACAGGTGTGTAAATCAAAGGTGTCAGTTCCTGTCCACTTTAGTATTCATTCCGCTGTTTGCGGCTAGTTTCTGTTTCCCATACCTTGAGATGATCTGTGATCAAACGGTAAAACAGGTGGACATTATTTTTGCGGAGGGTGCTGAGGTAGAGGAATTTATCAATGGCAGTCTGCTTGAGGGCCAATTGAGCGAGACCTAGATTCAAATTAGATCCCGCAGCAGACGCCAGAACGTTGTTGTGTAGACATACACCGTGTCTTCTGAACTTCATATGACTCCGCGCGCGGGGGAG